TTTTGACTTGGCACTCTTAATCTGAATTTTACATCATTTAAAAAATACTGTAGTTTGGACTGTTTTTTTTCTTTTGTGTAAAGACAGATGCAAAAAACAAGTTAAGCAATTCTGCTTTCTCATTGCTTCTCATCACCTTCTTGCCTTTTTCATCCATTAATGGACTAATTGTTCCCTTGACCTTTTTTTTTTTACATAATGAAAGCAGCTTTGTTATTTGTGACTTCTGTTGCAAGTTCATTCTGAGCCTTAGCTTTCTTGACTTCATATTTGCAGGTTTGGGTATTTGCTGATATTCTGCTTTAGATATGCACCCATCTTTCCATTTTTAAATTCTTGTCCTTTTTGTCTTTCAGTTTATCAGAGTTCTTTGTGCAGCCATGCTGGTTTCTTTTGAGATACCTTATTTTCTTCTTTATTGGAATTGTGCTAGACTGGGTTTTTATAATCTCACTTTTTAAAGTTCCCAAGCTCCTTGGATTCTTTTCCCTCTTAGGATTCTCATCCCTGAAATCCTTCTCAAGCTCTTTTCAAGTTTCCAATCAGTTTTCTGGAAGTGCAAGATTCTAGTTTGACTTGGTTCTATTGCTTGAGCTTACAATAATGTTGAATTCCAATACTGCATGGTCCTCCCAAGGTTTCTGTTACTTCAACCACTTCTATCATTTAATCTGTTAGTGAGAATTAAGTCCAGTATGGCTGAACCTCTAGTTCCCTTCTCTACCTTTTGGGAGACAAAGCTGTCTGCTAGATTTGTGAGGAATCTGTTTGATTTTCCAGTAGGTACAGTGTTTGTCTCCCCAGTTGATCTAAGGTTAGTTAAGGTCCCCCATTAATATTGTGGTGTGCTTCCTATGTATCTTAATTAACTGACCAGCAAAAAGTTCAAATATTTCCTGTGATTGGGTTCAAACCCATTTGTTGTGTTCAATATGTTTTTCATCATTGTTCTGGATTTCTGTGGAGATCGATTTATTATACCACCTCTTTTATTAAGTCTGTTTCTTTTAAACAATTTAAATCTGCAAGAACATCTTCAAAAATATGTGTTTCTATATTGTAAGTTGAAAAGGAAGAAACGGATATTATAAAGGGGGAGTGATATGCAAAATTTGTCTGCATGTTCTTGTTCTGAGGACAGAGACTTTATTTTAACTGCAATTAGTGCTCTAATCTGAAAATGAAAAAGAACACATACAATATAGGAATGGAAAGAGTCCCAGGTCACCAAGGAAAACTATACACAAATAGCCTAGAACTGTGTCAGAAAAGACAAAGTTCAGAATGAGGTGAATCTAGGAAACATAAAAAATAACAAAATCTGTTTCTTTAGATAAGTTCAAAATAAAAACGAAGCTCTAGGTAGCATAGTGGCCATTCAATTATGACAAAATTCTAATATCAATTGTGGAAAAACAGAACTTTTACTATTAGTTTTTCAATGATTTGAATAAAGAAATTGATAATTTATAAAATCTGCAGGTAACAGCATTGAGCAGAATAATTTCCTAACAGAAATAAAGTTCAAAATTGCCAACTGCATTCTAATCTAACTTGTGGTATAAACTCAGCGTAGCTACGTCTCGTCCTACTTCAATGTGTTATGAGAACCCATAAAATTGGGTAAATTATGGTTCAGTTGCCCATAAGTAGGGATGTTATACAATCCCCCACCCCTTCCAGGATTTCCCAAACTCTTAATTCTACCAACAGTACTTTGTATGAAATATGGGCCATTGACCGCCTGATCTGCCATTTGTTGTGTCCTTATGTGAGAACATCTCTAGAAGAGACAGATGAGGAGGAGGACCACTACATGATCAAAATAAGCTTTCTGTGCCACTTGAACAGGACAAGCCCAGAGTTAGACTCAATATTTTCTATAACTGATTAAGTGCAACTATCATGGTCATTCTGCCACTGGATCAAATATCAGAAGCCAGAAACAAGCAATGGACTGTTTGTTTGCAAGATGATACTTTGGGAATAAAGGTCTACTCAGCAGTAATTCTGAGTCTCTGTATAAACCTGCCTGGTTAGGATTACCAAGCACCAGCTGAGTTAAGGTTGTTAACATAATATAGCTGGATGGCCTTCAGCCAGATTAGGCTTAACAAGCACCAGCTGAATCAGGGCAGAGTAATTGCAGCCTGGAGTTTAAAGCTTTCTGCTGGAGGATAACTCATGATTGTAAAGTTATGTGATCAGTTGTCCCTCCATCCTGATAGAGCTCCTTACTGTACAAATGCTTTACAATCTAGAGCCTGACCTTTGATCTGTCTTTGTGTTGCAACTCATTTGAAAATAGGCGTTATCATATTGTAACTATGGTTCTGAGATTTCCTGACACACAGCAGAGAATCACTTTAAATTATATACAATGGGGGAAGGGAGCAGACAATAGCTTAATTTAGACCTTAAATTAGCAGTATTAGCTACAGTAATAGTGGTAGTTATATATACAAGTTAAAAATGCTCAAATGATTGATACTGTATTACACAGGGCTGAAACTCATCAGATGCTACTCAATCACATCATGTCCTAATAGTAGTTCATAGTAATGGCTGTTATGGATGTTGTCATGCAAGTTAACATTTTAGGGTGTGCTTGGGGAGAGTTGATTGCATGTTGATTTCTTCAGATGAAAGACTCCTCTATTATGTATGCAAGTTATTCTAAAATTTCAGTATTGGTTTTGAATATCACCTATTTATTCTAAAGCACAAGGATATGTATTTTTATCAATCCGATAAAACACAATTTGAATGAAGAAACACCATCCACTCCACTGTATCAACTTTTTAACTACCATTATGTCTACCAGCAGTATTTCTCAGGTATGCTAATGTACATAAAAGTGAAATGGGCGGTTTTATAAATCAAATGATTAAACAAATGTATAACTGAAACTACAAGAGCTAAACTAGTATTGTAAGCAAACATGTGAAGGAGTTAGCCAAAACAAAGTACTATTTATAAGTACATGTTTAAAGAATCAGCATAAAGTATTTGACATTTATTTGTTCTAAAAAGTATGCAGCTTAAAACAGAAATAAAGTTTGTTATTGAAATACCTGCAACAGTATGCCAAGTAAAAATATTTTAGGTGCACTGATTATAAATGAAGACTGGTTTAAATTTTACAAGCAGCTCTTTCCACTGTAGGATCAGAGGTTAATGTTTCATTTCTGAAGGGCATAACTAATAACAATGCTCAATATAAAATTAAGAGTTTGTCTCTGAAAGACTCTTTCAATTCTAAGGGTGTTTGTTTTTTTGCATGCAAGCTAACAAAAGACAAGAAAATGACCAGCATACCTAAGGAAAGAAATTACATTATTAAGAATGTTTGAATGCAAGGGAGGCATTACAGAACTATTTAAAATTGTGCAAAAGATGGTAAATATAAACAGGGGGGGAAAGATCCAGAAGGACCAAATTACACAGGGAGGAGTTTATAACAGAAACACTATGTTGCACAAGCCCTAATTGAGCTATGGAATTCAAAGCAGATGCAGCAACACCTCCAATCCAGATAGTTTTGTAGGAACATTATCAAGTCCATGGAGGATAAGGCTAGCAATGACTAATAGTTATCTTCAATATCTGAGACAGTAAGGTTCAAACTGTACTAATAATTGCTTGGGGATACAAGACACTTGGTAATGAGTATATGTTGCTTGTAGGCTAACCACAGACACATGCTTTGTGCTGTTGGAATAGAAAACTGGATTAGGTCACACCTTTATTTCATCCAGCACAAATGAAATGAAATAAAAGTTGCAGTATGTTATATATTAGAGAATTACTGAAATGTAAATAAATCCAGCTCTGCATGTCCAGGTCTACCATATGACCTTATAGGTATATCTTAAGATTTTAGACAGCTGCATAACTAAAATCCAGCATAACAGAACAAAATTGTCTATCTTTTAGCCAAGCCTCCTTTCTCACTCCCAAATCCACAATTACTGGCACAGCTCTCACCCACCCCATTTAACTTTAATGTGGTGGAACTTGTGAGTAAAATGCACATGACTGCACCAAGTATCCATAAGTAACAACAGTGTACACAATTTAGGGAAGATAGATTTCCATCCCCTCTCTTCTTTTTGAGAAACCTAAAATACTGCGATCCTAATCACACTGATCTGAAAGGGTTCTTACTCAAACTAATGCTCTCTTCCTTAAGGAAACCTAATCAGAATCAAGCCAATCGATTCCGAAGGAGTAACAGAACCACCGTGACAAAAGACAAGCGTTAATATATTTTTTTAAATTGAAAAAAAAAACCCCTTTAATACGTTTAGAAGGAAACTAAGGACCAGCCTGGGAGTAAATCTCCCTGGCTGTAGCTCGCCAACACATGATTATGTGCACAATTGTTGCACAACCCGCTTTGGCTGTTGTTCTTTTTCCTCCTCCTTAAAAAAAAAGGCGACATCGGCAGAGTCTCTCTCCCTCGTTCCGCAAAGAGGGACCAACCTTTCTTTCAGGTCACGTTAAGCGAGGTCTGGAAGCTCCCCTTAGAAAGGGGGAGGTGGGTCCCAAGCCTTGCGCAGACTGCCACCAAGTCGGCACCCCCACCCCTCCGCCCACCATCTCTAGGGCAGCTTATCCCCCTTCCACTCCCATCCGTCCCAAGCAGCACCTAGGCCCGAGGAGGCGAAGACGCCGACCAGTCCCCGGGTTCCCTTTCTCGTCGCACCCCGCCAGCGCTCCGGCCAAAAGAAGAGGCTTGCTGGGGAAGGACCCAAGACGCCACTCCGTCGCCGGCCCGCTTTCTTCAAGCGAAGGGCGTTTTGCCCCAGAGAACCCGCGGCGGCGGCCCCCGGAAAATGGCTGCCGCTGGAGCCGAGCCTTTCCAGGCAGAGCAGCTGCGGCAGAGCGCACCTCCGGACCTTCCAGCCGCGCAAAGCGGCTCCAAGCCGGCGGTTGGAAGCATGGGAGGGTCGAGAGAGGCGCTTCCGAGGCGGAGGGCCGCCCTCCCCCACCTTACCTTTGAATTTGAGCTCATGCTGCGGCTCCAGGATCAAGACCTGCTCAGTTTTCGCCATGTTGGCTCCCGCTCCTCCTCCTCCTCGGCGGCGGTTGAAGCACCAAGCGGGGCCGGAGGGAAAGCGGAGCAAACGCCAGTGACGGCCCTCAAGGGGAAAAAAAAACAAAACGGGGGTGCGGAGGAAAGGAGCCGAGGTGGCGAGACGGAGGCGGCCGACGGTCCTTCCCGACAAGGCAAAGCGGGTCGAAAAAGAGGCGCGGAGAAAAAGGGGGACTAAAGCGAGGACCCGCTCGGCGGCTTTGGGGCACGGCCAGAGAAATGAGCCGGCGCGCGCCCAGCACGCAAGCTGACGCTTCCCACCCTCGCCAGGAGGAGGAGGAGGAGGAGGCGGCGGCGGGGAAGGACGTTGCAGCACGGGCGGGCCTGGGCTGGCGGTGGGAGAAGGAGGAGGAGGAGGGCGAAGGGGGACTGCAAGCTGACGTTTCCCGCCGGCTCGGGCGGGGCTTTAAGGCCGCCCTTCTCTTTCGTCAGGGGAGGTTTGCGCGTAACGTGGGAAGAGGTTTTAAAGGCAAAAAAAAAAAGGGGGGGGGGAGGCGCGCAGGCGCTGCGCCGGTTTGAAACGCGCCGCGCTATCGTGGCGCGCAATTGGGGGTTGCGTCCTGAGGGAGGGGAAAAAAAGGAAGATGCTTGTAAAAACGCCGCAGTCCCGGCGTGGGAGCTTTAGAAACAAGTCAAAGGGACGGCAGTGGGGCTTTCTCTCCCGAAACGGGGTGATGCCTCGCTTAGTAGAAAGTCGGGTTTTGCATAACGTGACCGTGGATGTGCAAAGATGGGCGCCCGTCTCCTGGGGAAGAAAGGAAAACCCTCAGAGAAAAATGGAGGAGGAAGGATTACAGGTAGTCCTCGACATATGGCCGTAATTGAGTCCAAAATGCCTGTTGTTCAGTGAAATATTTGTTAAGTGACTTTTGACTCGTTTTATGACCTTTCTTGCCCACAGTTAAGTGAATCACTGCAGTTGATAAAGTTAGTGTTGTTAAGTGAATACAGCTTCCCCCTTGACTTTGCTAGTCAGAAGGTCACCAAAGGGGATCACGTGACCCTGGGACACTGCAACCGTCATAAGTGTCAACCAGTTGCCAAGCATCTGAATTTTGATCACGGGGATGCTGCCAAGGTCGTAACTGAAAAATGGTCATAAGTCACATTTTTCCGTGCCGTTGTAACTTTGAACAGTCATTTAATGAACTGTTGTAAGTCGAGGACTACCTGTATTGTGGAGAGGAGGAAGGCCAGTGTGATGACCCATAGTGTCTCAAAAATAACACAAAAACTAAAACATGAATCAAGGTCTTGTAATACCTTCAGCTTAGCTTCGCTGTTTTATTAGTCACAGTTTAAATTCAAAAAGTAGATAATGAAGCAAAAGGAAACCAAAAACAAACCGCGTTGACACCAAGATAATTAATCACACATTCAAGGGAGATTAACGGTGGAGTCCAGAACACCAACAAAGATAAACCTCATCCAAGGAGAATACTACTTTGACTCCAGCGTTTGTGAACACGCATTTCCAAACTCTTACACAGAGCTCACAGCTGCAAGCCATGAAGAGGATCATGGTAATCTCCTGAGTAGGCCTCGCTTTTCCCTGATCCTCTCCTCCCTGCGTGCCCTAGGATGGATAGGGGATGGGCCTGGGTCCTCTGACTGCTCAGCCAGCCTCTGCCCTTCCCCAGCCTCCTCCACCACCTCTGGAGCCACACTTCCACTCCTTGTTGGCTGTTCCTCCTCTTCCTCAGAGTCAGTCTCCACCAGGGGTATGACAGCCAGCCTCACTGAAGAAGGAGATGGATTGAGGCATTGCTGCAGAGAATGTTTTCTGAGCCCATTAAGTAGTTGGGTTATAATTCCAGTTTTTCTCAAACCTCAAAATGTGTCCCATAGAAGTATCTGAATTTACTGTTGGGACAGTGATATAAGAATAAATGTACCTTGTTCCTCATCAGATATTCTTTGCACTAGAAAGAAAGGATAAAGGGGATTTTCCAACCAAGGTTCAATTCATTGTCAAAATTGAGTTGCTTCATTTATGGGTTGATCACCACTTGGTTGGCCTTATTGGAAGCTAAGGAGGGATGCACTTGATAATGTGGATGGGATTCCTTCAGTAAGTTGAAAATTAAAAATTAATGGAAGAATATAATGGCAAACCACTTTGTTTTTATAAGAAAATTCTGTAGATGTATTAAGGTACCAGTAGTTAAATTAACTTTGGAGACTTTTACTTTATGTTTAACATGTATTTAAATAAAGACTAATACTAATTTTATAATATTACCATTATATCATTATATATTATTATTATAACAAAAATAATACCACAGTATGGAATCTCCTGAGGGGGCGTGCATAAGCGCACCAACGTGCCTACTGTCCCTGTCCTATTGTTTCTCTTATTCTTTTATTTTTCTTATATGTACCCATTTCATGTATTCACAACTATGTATACATTTATACTTATTATCTTGTAAACAATTGGCAAATCAAATAAATAAATAAATAAACATGCCTTCCCTTTTGCAAGTCTGTTTAAACCATGTTATTCCACTGTACCTACCATTGGTTGAAATTGACTATAGCCATTTATCTTTGAGATGTATGAAAACAAAATTTCTATTTGCTTGATTTTTTTCTGTTTTATTCTTGTTCACTGTCCAGAACTTTGATGATTATGGCAATCTAAAAATATTACCAATTGTGGTTTTTTATATTTATGGTCAGGTTGGTGATGGAGTTTTCTAGGCTGATGGTCCTTTAGAACTTCAACTTCCTTGGATGTGGAGTAAAAGGTGCCTCAGGACTTCATGGTCATCATGACACCCATGGGTCTGACCCAAGTCATCAACATCCCAACACACTCAATACTCATATGCTAGAACAGGTTTTCTTGTTGGAGCAGTGACAGTGTAGATGGAAGGTGAGGAAGATTGATATCACTCCTCTCTTGTGGAGATGAGAAGAGTTGGAAGGGACCTTGGAGGTCTTCTAGTCCAAATCCCTGCCTAGGCAGGAAACCTTATACCAGAGACCCTACACCACAGAGATATAAGTCTCTGTTGGCCCTGATGTTTTCTGATGTTTCTACTTCCATGCTGTAGGGAGGTGGACTTACTTGATTGGTCTACCTGAGGCGACTGATTAACCAGAAAGCTTACAGAGGGAACTTGGGGTTTCCTGAAGGTCTGTTGTATTTTCCAGCTGAAGATTTAGTTGCTCCCTGGAATGTGAGGGAGGGACTTTGGACTAGATTATTTCTATATGGGCTCTCTTTTCCTGTGGATCCTAAATTCCCCTTAGCTTACTGAGGAAAAAGAGGGAAGGAGAGAGATGTTGAAAAGAAACCAAGAGTGCCTCAGGAAGACTATGAGGAATAAGCAGGACTGAGCATCAGCTGGAGATGTTATTGGGGTCTAAGTTGTGATGGATAGGGAGGCAAAGTGCCAGTATCTTTATTGCATCCACACTCACTCAGAAGCACTGTTCAAGGTAATCCTAAGAAAGGATTGAGATTTACAGGGCCACTGTGAAGAATGTGCATGGAATCTATTGGATAAAAATCACTCCAATTCACATGCAGAACCATCCCTGCACAGACAAAACTGAAAACGTGAGGGGAGGGGGAAAACAGAGGAATGGATTGTAGATGTGAGCAGGAGAGAATCCTTGCACAACTTTGTGTTGTATATTACTTGTGCCTTTGTTGAACTGCGAGAATCTGCTTTCAGTTAGTCATGCCTTAGCGTCCTTTCAGTTGGGCTATTGCAATGTTTTCTACAGAAGGTTGCCCTTGAAGAACATCTGGAATCTGCAGTTGGTATAGTATACAGCAGTGAGAGCATTGATGGGCACATCTCAATTGGTGCATATTACCCCTCTGCTCTACAAGCTGCATTGATTGTGGTGAGATGGGTGTCAAATACTTTAATAAATAAATAAATATACTTCTGAGCTTTTGTTATTTTTTTAAATTGTTGTTAGCCACTCAGAGTTATTTGATTGAGATGGGCTGCCATATAAATTGAATAAATACATAAATTTAGCTGCTTGTGGTCTTTATCCCTCAGGTGTATCACTGCATCTGTCCAAATGGTTTGTTTCTATTTTATTTTGGACACAAAGCCCCCTTCAAAGTGTTTTACAACATTAAAACATAAAAATGCAACACTACCATATGCTTTTTATTTTTATAAAAACCTGTTATTCAGTACTGCAGTCAAAATTCATACTTGGCTTTTGTCTTGCAATGAAGTGAAAAAGGTATATGAAGGAATGGGGGAGATCTGTAGTGCTACATATGTTGTTCCCATCATCCTTTATTATTAGCCAGGTTGCCTGGAGCTGAATTGACTTGCAGTTTGAGGAAAAGCATGGAAGCCTTTTGGTACACAGAAATAATATTGAGCTTGATACATTATTGAATGTGCAGATGACATAAAATTGGATGGGATAGCTAATACTCTGGATGACACAATGTAATATGATCTTGGTCGGTTAGAAGGAAAATAATAAAATGCAACTCAGCGTTCTTCAGTTTGGCTTGTCGATGAATATGCTTGGAAATGATTTTGAAATTGTATTTTATGATAGGGTGTAAATGAGTAAGCAGTGTGATAATGGCTGCAAAAAAGAAGACGGATAATTGCTTCCAAATCATGGGCAATACTATCTTCACTCCTACATTGCATTGGTCAGATGCTGCCTTAAAAGGCTGGGGGATATTTAACCTTGAACATAAAATGACCATGGAAAGTGCAGGTTGCACATTTTTAGCTCCACAAAGAAGGGCTGCACACACAGGAAAATCAAGTCCTATTCATGAACACGTCATCGTTCCAGTTGGGGTTGGTACCTGTAGAAGGGCAGATTGTTTTCTAATTTAAAAGTAATTTAAAAATGCTACAAATTATCTCAGAGATGGTGGCTCCTCTGTGTTGCATTTGTTCAAACATCAATTTATTTATTTTTACTTATTAGATTTTTAAAAATCTCACTTATATTACTTTTATAAATAACTCTGGGAAGTAAACATGCATAATACTCTCTATTTTCCCCATAACAACTCTGTGAGGTGGGAATAAGTGACCAGCCCAGTCATTCAGCCCCTTTCATGCCTAAGGTGGGAATAGAACTCAAGAGTGTCCTGATTTCTAAATCAGCACCTTAACCACTACACCAAACTGGCTCTCAGTTGGGCGGCCATATGTATGTATATAGATTTGTTTGCTGGTCAGTGCCTGAAATGGAGGCTTGGCTTTTTAATTTTGGATTCTTGCATTAAGCATGGGGATTGAATTTGATGTTTTAAATCAGCGGTCTCCAGCCTTTCTGGCTCCACAGACTTGTGGGGGATAGTTTCACGTATGCAACCTAATCCTGCACATGTGCAAATAAAGCTGTGCATGCTTACCTGCCTCTTACATGGCCAGGTTTCCAAAAGGCATGATCAGCTACTGGTTCATGGCCTAGGGATTGGGGACCCATGATCTAAATGGCCTCTTCGAATTCTATAACTCTCTGAAAATCTCTGTTTTGATATATACATTTTCATTCACCCCCTCAAATCTATTCATTCTCTTAGAATTGTTAAAACAGATGTTATAAGGCTCCTTCATTTTAAACTCTGTAGCATTGTTCTACAGAAAGTCTACTATATGAGGATCACAAAAAAGCAGCTGGAAATGCCTCAAGCCATTGCATAATGTAGGCTGCAAATATTTAAATATTTTGTTTCTTAAACACTCTTTTAGAAAGACGTTTTGCTGCAGAAGAAATGTATCTTCCCTGCTCTTCTGCTTGAGGTTGCTCCAGAGGGTAAAATGGAATGACCAGGTCATATTTAATTGTAGACAGAACAAAATTAGCCCGACCTTCAGCGTGGGTGACTTTTTCCCTGTAGTTTGGATGACTTCAGCCTAGAGAATTATCTGTCATCACAATTAACTATTAAAACATGTTGACAGTTACCATTCCTTTCCTGAGAGGGTGGGGAAAATGTGGATTGGTTTTATAACACCTTTACAAGTGTTTTTTGCAAATACAGTGAAATGTATCAGCTTTATCCTCCAAAGAACCCTGTAACAAGTATTGTAATAACAAGTATTGCCTGATAAGATCTTTGAAACTGAGGACTTAAAGCATACTATAATCAATAAAATAGAAAATTCAGTTTAAAGCCAGGCAGCATGCTTGTATTTTACTCAGAATAAAACGATTTCTGCCTTTCAGCTTAACAGCAATTTTATTGCACCCATTTATTTTCCTTTGCAGAGGAATTGTTGCAAAACTAGATTCTTGGATTTGTCTTGAAGAATGCTGGGTGTGGGAATTACCAGCGAATCAACATCCAGACCCTTCAACTCAGCATTGCTCTCTGCGTTTTTGAGCATGTGCAGGAGGAACTCGGCACTCTTTTTTGGCCAACGGCCCTGGGTCCAACCCCACTGCTTGGCCTGTGCACATCTGCCAACACCACCGTTGTAACGCCGGAATGGAACACACTGCTTTTTCAGAGTCACGTCCTTTAAATATTTGGTGGCCTTCCGAATGTGCATCCCCTTGATAGCTTGGGCAGTCTCACGTGTGTTCTTGAAATGGACCCGAAGGTTGGAACCCCTGGACTTGCATGATTTTGTGGGGTTCTCTGGATCAAGTGAGTAGCGGACCATTTTCAAAGCTCACCTTAAGACGGCCACTACTGTCGGGGGAAAAAAAAAAAAATTCTGGGAGTTGAAGTTCAACACATCTTTATTGAGGTTGAGAAACACTGCTCTATAGTAATAGCAGGGGAACTCAGTGGCTCAATAGATAAGACACTGAGCTTGTTGATCAGAAAGGTTGGCAGTTCGGAGGTTTGAATCCCTAGCACCGCATAATGGAGTGCGCTCCCATTACTTGTCCCGGCTTCTGCCAACCTAGCAATTCGAAAGCATGTAAAAATTCAAGTAGAAAAATGGGGACCGCCTTGGTGGGAAGGTAACAGCGTTCCATGTGCCTTTGGCTTTTAGTCAATGCCAGCCACATGACCACAGAGTAGTTTTCGGACAGCGCTGGTTGTTCAGCTTTGTAACGGAGATGAGCACTGCCCCCTAGAGCTGGAAACAACTAGCAAGTATGTGCAAGGGGAACCTTTACCTTTAGTAATAGCAGATTTATGTATACATCAGTTTGGAAGTGAAAACAGATACTCCCTCCCCTTGGTAGTAGTTATAGAAGACAGCAGATTGCAACAGAGGAGCTTCTAAAACTCTTTGGAGTAATATTGAGCTATAATTCATTTCATTTCCAACCAATCTTGGAGCAAATAGGAATCTATCCAGGGATACTACAAATTATAGAAGAACAGAATTTGGCCATCAAGATTAGAAAAGGCTGGAAACATAGGAAAGTGTAGCAGCTTAAAATATAAATTTGTGCATGGTAATAAGTTGCAATATAAAAATTAGGACGATAGTTATCTTTTGCTTAAATACATGTTTGTTTATTGTATCTTTCCTCAATCAGATGGGGGGGGGGAGGCATGGTGGACTATACTATCCATTATCTCCAATGTGCCCTCTGGGAATAAAAGTAGTTGGCTCTGAATATTCCTAGAGTGCATTAGTTTCTTGTTAAAAAAAGGGGGTGGGGTGGGGGTACATAATGGACTCTGAAGATTTCAGAGTTTTTGTCCCAGCTGGGCACTTAGTACAGCATAGTACAGAGCGCTAGAAGGAGGCAGGAGTTACAAAATCTGATGGTCAATAAATTGTCCATTCCTATACATCTCAACATCATGTGTAGTGCTATAAATTATACAATAGGTAACTAATTGTCTAAATCTTTTGAGTTAGTAAAAAAAATGTCAAGTGCATTGTCAGAACTCGTGATAACATAGTATTTCTATCACATGAAAATAAAGGACTGTCATTGTAAGTATAAAATAATCATGCATTTTATCCAGTTTACTTTGGGATGCCTAGATTCATATAGATTCAGCTCGGTGTAGTGGTTAAAGCATCAGGCTAGAAACCAGATATCATGAGTTCTAGTCCTGCCTTTGGCATGAAGCTGGCTAAGTGACTTTGGGCCAATTGTTTTCTCTCAGCCCTAAGTAGGAGGCAATGGCAAACCACTGTCAGAAAAGCTTACCAGGAAAATGGTAGGGACTTATACAGGCAGTAGTCAGGAGTCTTCCTGACCTGAAGGCACTAAACAAACAAGCATACCATACATGCAAAGCTCAAGAATGAGGATGGGATTAATTTCAGAATTCATGAAGAACTACAGATCACATTGAAAGTATGTGTTACAAACATTTTTATTAAATAATTTACAACTTTTATTTTGCACAATACATCCAGCTTGTGAGTTAGAGTACTATTATACTATAAGAGTACATTTTTGAAGCTGACACAAGGCTTTTTAATATGTTAAAATCAATGTTCCCTCATAAAACTATAACTATGAGAAGGAATGACCAAAACAAACCCCCACCCTTCCAACGCCAAGATATTAGAAATTAGGAATTCTCTACCCTACTTCATCACCCTTTTCACATTCTTAGGACCAGCCTAAGAACACATGCACACGTACACACACACATACACACACACACACACTCCCCTCTTTAGTCTTCCATATGCTTGGGAAATCATGGTCAATGTTTTACCAGTTCAATCAAGCTTCTTTTCATGCAAATACAAGCTCCCTGACACCCCTCCACCCAGTGCAATCCACTGCAATGTTACCTCTTGCAAGCCTCACTGAAATTAATCCAGAGTTAAGCAGGCCAGGATTCAGTTTCTCACAGCCCCTTTACTGATGTTTACATTTAGAGGAAAGTTTGTACCCTTGGACTAACAACATGTTAATTTCAGTAAGACAGTTCAGTAATTTGTGACATTTCAATTTCAGGGTGAAGGGAAAAAAAAGACTTCTATAGTGATGTTTTTTTCCCCCCTTTTAATGATACAAAAAAACCCACCATGCACTTAATTTCTGCACAGCAAAAGATTAAGCCAGGAATTGGAGTCATTATACTCAAATCCGTGCTAGAAGAAAGTTTCTAAAACAGACTTGGGTCACACGGGAAAGCCCTTGGCTTGCTTCGGGGCTCAACCCTCTCTATAAGAAATAACAGGAAGAGGTCATCCCTTGGTATGCAATAAGGCAGCATTATTAGGGCAGATGGTATCCAGTATACATCTCTACCCCAGACCGAATGGAAGCAGCAATGGAAGCCCTCGCCTAATTCCTGGAAACTTATTTTACTGGTTGAATAGGGAGAAGCAAATTCAGGTTCAACTGAAGTAAAACTGAAGGGCTGTTCATTCAGAAGGCCACTGGTTCTGTGATTATTACATCTTTTACTCTTCTCCCGAGAAGAGGGGTCTGCAATCTGGAGGGGTGTGTGTGTTCCTCTAGTACTTCTGGCTCATACTGTGGCCAGGAAAGCTCTGCCTAATGGGGGTTCTCCTTACAATATGGGGTACTGAAGATGGTTGCTTCATGCCCTTGGTAACTCTTAAAATGGAATACAGATAGTCCTTGCTCAGGGACTACTCATTCAGAGACTATTCAAAGTGGTAACAGTGCTGAATGAGGTGATAAGTTGTGGCTATTGCCACATCTCCGTGGTCATGTGACCACAATGTGGTGCTTGTCACCTGGTGTGCAATTATGATAGGTGATCTCCATGACCGCTGCTTCTGACAAGCAAAGTCGATGGAAAGCCGGCAGCGAGTTGCCATCACGTGATACCGCGCCCAACAACCACAGCGATTTTCTTAACAACCACAACTGGAACAGTCCTCACAATCTGTCGTCACATGATTTTTCGCTTTAGGTCTGTGATCCTTAGCGATGGAATTTCCAGTTTCAGCTATAGTTGCTAACAAAGGACCTGCATTGTACTTTGCTTTTCATGGAGCTCCCCTTGAGTCTATCTGGAAAATTCAGTTGGTGCAAAATGCAGCACCCTGTATGCTTCGCTGGACAGTTGTTGATGTCAAACAATGCTAATGTAGCAGGAGTTGCACTGGCTATCAGTACATTTCAGAGTGCAGTTCAACTGCTGATTATCCCCTATTTGGACCTGGACCTGGATATCTTCAAGACTACCTGTCCTATGATGGACTTTAAAGAAGATGGTGATCTGAAGACAGCTCCATGAATAGCAGAGATGACGTTTGTGGCCATGAACAGGTAGATCAGCTCCTTTGACCCTCTCTGGACAAAGTGAGGACATGAGATCGTCCAAGCTCTTCTCCTTAAAATTGCTCCTTGTTCCCTCTTTCTGCAGGATGGGAAAATTGGGAGATGAGGGAATTGGCCACTGTTCTCCAGCCACAAAGCCTTTTTAAATTACACCGAGTTTGCACTTGCCTTGCTAACCATTTTTGGATATTGTCTATTAAGTGCTTTAAAATGACAAGACTATATATAAACATCGAATGTCTTCCATCTTTAATGTAAGAAAATGAAGATCTATCTTTATAATCTTCAAGAATTTAAAATAAACAGCAAAAAGCAAAGCAAGATTTTGGCTATAGAAAGTTTTAAACAGAATAAGAGCTTAGAAAACATTGAAAAATTGGGTTTTGAATATTAAGGTTTTGAAATTAATCTTAAAAGAATAAATGAATTTTTGTGGGAAAGAAAAACTGGTTTTGTTTATTGGAGACATAACAAGACAAGTAATTTATCATGGTGTTTAGAGATCTTTGAGAACTTGGACTAGGACTTGCACAAGAACTTTCAGTCATGTCACCTACAATATATTGTGTGGTTTTGGGAACAGCCTGTTTCTCGATAACAGAAAAAGATAATGCAACAATATCTACCCAAGAACACATGAATGAGAATTTGAGTAAGAATTTGCCATCATATTAAAAAGAAAAAAAAAAGGGATGATGCTTTAAAAATTAAGGACATAAAAATGATAACCCCAAAGAGTAACTAGAACATTTTTTTGTGGGATTTACAAATGAGGCTGTTTCAAACAATGAAGAAATATGTATCAAGGATTATAACATAGAATATCAGAATTAGAAGGGACTTTGGAGGTCTTCTAGTCCAATCCCCTCTCAAGAAGTATCTGAATGGATTAAAGAGCAAGATTGTTTTGTATAAGAAGATACATTGAGTTGGCTTATTTGACAAGATTTAAAATGTGGCGTTACTATTTTGAATGATTCTTTTTGGATTTGCTGATATCTGGACTGGAAAAATATTGTATATTAATTTGTTTACATTTAATATGGTGTTTAAGCTTTTCCCCCTACAGTTACTTTATGTACCATGATTTGGCAGCGTTTAAACTGGCTCTTATTTAGCTGTCTTTTAAAAGAGTTTTATGTACTTGTTCTTTTTAAAGAAGAAAGTATCCCTGTTTGTAATGTTTAATTTTTATCTTTTGTTTACATTTGGATGCTTTATATAGTGAATATGGATTTTTTATAGTTAAGAGTTGAGGTATGAAATGTTTATCTGAATGGGATATGTTGTTATTTGGATAATACTCTTTGGAATTGCCATTTGGAGTGGAAACATGTTGTGTATTTGGTGTTTACACTTAATATGGTATTTAAGCGTTTCGCCCTAGGGTCACTCTAGAAGGGGCTTGCTTTTTAAAAAGGAGAAATGTCATGTTAGACTGCAGTTTTTTGTTTCTATTAGGATATTGGAAACACTTTATGCCTTTTAAATGTGGTTTTGCTTCTGGCTAGGAGCAGAGATGTGGGATGTTAGTTTTATATGTATTAATTAATGTTATTATTTTAGGACTTTACATATTTTTCTGACATCTGGATTGGAGAAGATATTTCTTATTGGATCTGCCTATATTTATGGAATGAAGAGTTTTATATTTATTAAGAGGAGATAAAGTAATTATGAAATAGTTTGTACTTGTGATGAGAATAAAGGGAAAGTTGCTTTCTTAGGGGTTTTTAAAAAACTTTTTTCTCCTTTTTGCACTTTAGTTTATATTATTTTTTTACTGTTGTAACTAAAACTTTTAATAAACATTAGGTTAAAAAATACTGCCTAAACAGGTGGAGGCCTGAAAGCGTACTCCTTATTCTAGATCACTTTGCCTCCCAAGGTATGGGAAGAAACCCATAAAAATAGGGTTGTTCTGGAATCTGGAAGACCTTTGGGGCTTTAAGAGTGCAGAAGTGTCAACTCCAGGAATGTGAAGGATTTATTGTACTTTTTGAAGCATAATTATATATTGTATTCCTTTTATTGTATTTAATTGCTGTTACTGAAGCAGTTTATAAAATTCTAAATAATTTAGGATGATTTATTATTTTATAAAATAAATGGTGTATTTGAGATTCGCCGTACTAGCTTATGGTTTGGAATCACTGCAATCACTGCAATATCTGAAAAGGCACAATCTGTTCTAACTTGATCTAAACAATTCCTTAACTATAAACTCTATTTCACAATCCATTTTACTGATATATCATTTAGAAGTATTATATATTTTAGAGTAGGATGACTAATTATTTTGTAGCAGAAAATAGGGAGTGTCAAATAATATCAATTTCAAATGACATTGCCTCTCTCTTTGCACTTCCAGGGGTTTAGCAAAACTTCCCTCCTTTTTCAGTTTAACAATTGTCAACATACCTTTCTCCTTAGTCATTTATTACCTAAGCAGACATAACTAGTTTCCCTCCATAAATTTTATCTCCAAGATTTTATCTTTTGAGCCAACCTTTCCAGTTAGTCAGTCTGCTTCTCTAATTGCACTACTCAAATCTGAGAATGCAATTCGAATAAAATCTAACAAAATATCAAGTCCTTCTCAAGTTGTGGAGCCTGTCTTCAACAGTGTACTTTAATAAGGCAAAAGTCTTTTTACCTCATTTCATCCATAACTGATATTTTCTAAACTCTCACTCTAAAACAAACTTCTGTATAATCCTATCCACCATTTTGTACTTGTTTGACCCATCTACCTTTGCAGAATTTCATTTTCATATTGTCTACCCATGTCCCCATGGGAGATCATTTTGAAGATTGGCCTCTTTGTAGTAAGTGGATATGTATTAACTACCCCTTATTCTATTATAGTAAGAAGCATATATCCCCATAAGGTGACGTTCAAAAGGCAATTGAATTTTGCTTCCCCATCCCCTTGAAAACATTTCGCTTCTCATCTGAGAACTTTCTTCAGTTCTGAATGAGAAGCAAAACATTTTCAAGGGGAAAAAAACAAAGCCCAGTTGCCTTTTGAACAGCATCTTTGGGACAACCATGACCTGGATGATTGAGAATCTCCACAGACACATCCCCACAATCACATCCCCCCCCCCCCCAATCTTTGCTGGCTGTTTTCCCACAAACTGCGCAATAAATATAGTCCTCATGAAGAATGGTGATGATTCTAAGTATTGGACTTAGAGACCTGTTTATAAATTGAAAATAGAGAAGTGCTCTACGATATATTTAATATTTTTTTCCTTCACTATAAGCCATAGGTATTTCTGAATTACAGTGCTGCTCAGTCTCTGGATGTCTAAAATGAATTCTGTATGACCTAAATCAATTGAGTGTACATTTGCAACCATAACTACAGTGATTCCAAGTAACAATAATTTAGTAGGCTAAAGGTACATAGAATTGGTGCGGCAAAAAGATTCACTGATTACTTTTATCTTCCATATAGATTACTTCTAGAACCAACACAAAGAAATTCCCAGGATTGGCAAGATGCAATTGTGAATCTTGATTAAATCAGATCTGTATGATATGACCTAAAGGCCAAACTAGATGTGTCATTAAATGTGTTAATGAATTTATACAGTGGGCTTTTTCTATTGTAAATAGGTGCAACCATGCCTGACAGTAATATTGGCTTAGAGAGTAATCCTTATTAAATTTATTGAACCATTTATTTTCAACGCAAACCATAGCCTCTTGGAAAAGAGAGAATGGAGTCCTTACCCTACAGTACTGCTTACTGTAATCTTGCAAAAGAAGTCCAATGCTGGATTGAGAATCTTCTTCTGAGTTGTGACCATGGAGTGTAGAAAAGTAACATTTTGAGTTCAGCTACTGCTATTATGATTAAACTATTATTTCTAAATACTTTATTTATAAAACATTTCTGCCATATAAAAAGCTTCAGTTCAAATCCCACCAGGCTCAAGGTTGACTCAGCCTTCCATCCTTCTGAGGTGGGTAAAATGAGGACCCAAATTGTTGGGGGCAATATGCTGACTCTGTAAACCGCTTAGAGAGGGCTGTAAAGCACCATAAAGCAGAATATAATCTAAGTGCTATTGCTATTGCTATTATTTCTAAATAGTTTATTTATAAAATATTTCTGCCATATAAAAAGTTTCTAAAGGCTAGCTTTTTAACCAGTTCCATTAAATGTAAGACAATACATTTAATTCTGCACTAAAGTAACAATTTGCCACATAGCTGTCGGCAGGGGATAGAGTGGATTTGGGACAATGGGGATATAAGAAAATATATGACATCATGCAAACGATGCAACTGGTATTGTTTCAGACAGCTTGGCACTATTATATATATAATTGTTATTTTGATGTCATCATGGTCTGTTACTGACACCTATGGCTCCCCATAGAGATGTCAAGGCAAGCAAAGGCTAAACTGAAATTACAAGAAATATCTGAAAACAGAACCAGAACAAATCCATGACCAGATGAAAATAGTTTCTTTAATGTAGTTCTGCTATTTACAAAAATCATGCCAGACTAACTGCATTGTCTAGGGAAAAGGGGAATAAAGGGTTCAGGAATCTGGCCTCTGTTTGCTTCCTCCAACTGAGAAACTTTAAGCTAGCCAGCCTCTTTATTCCACCCTCTACTCTAGCTAGAGATCTCAGCACAATAGTTTAGCTATAGAAAAGCAAAAAGTAACAAAAATCACCCACCTTCTGTATTAACACAATTCGTCTACTGATATAAGTACATTTTATCTGATTGGTGTGGCTCTCCAGAATGACATGCAATTTTGGCTGCAAAGTGTTACTGTTTTGCATGAATGAGGGGCTCAGTTATAGAATCTGGTATGCAAAAATGTATCAGGTTTAACATCCAAGACCCTAATAAAAGATAGGCAATGTAAACTTTTATCTAGGCTTCTTAGGATTTTAAAGACAAGTTTTTAAAATGAAAGGTTTGTTTCTTCTGACAAGTCTATATAGGAAGGAAGAGATGAGAGTATCATTATGTTTTGTTCTGATTTTTTTTTAATATGCTGAAGTGATTTAATTCTTGGATGCAAGCTTCTCAGGGTACAAGAAATTGAATGCAATTATATATGATATATATAAGAGACAGAATTAAAATACTCTGTTGGTAAGTTCAAAAGAGGAGAAAAATCAATTGAAGGCAATTATTTAATATTTGCCAGTGTGTCTCTCATGAAAGAATGAGTTATTAGAAAATCCCAAACCTTAATCGTAAGATCTTGACATTCCTCAAAAAATATATGCTCAGGGAAAAAAAACATTTTTACCCAAAGTGACTATTGAAAGCTGGGTACTTTTGAAATATAATTTCACTGGGAAATGTCCTAAACCTGTGTATTCCTGCTTGCAGCTATTTATAAAGTGAAACCATAGATGAGGAGTCGTGGGTTAGGCAGTTCAAATGGCTGCATGCCTGCTGTAAATTAGAATTCCCCCAAGATCATCCAGAGGAAGATTTGCTGATCCAAGCTACTAAAAATAAAACCTCTCCTGTTCAGCAAACATAGTACAGAAAAAGGACATTCCAAAAACATCCATTGAAATGCAGTGTAATCAATACGATACACTAGATTCCAGTTGAGGCGAGGCACTCCCCATTGTGACCTAAACTAAATGCTATTCATAGCAAGAGTTCTTTCCTCCAATCACTGCAAGAAATACTCTTACAGTAGCAAAGGCATAGTAAACCAGCTTTGTAATTCCTTTAAGAAGCAGAAATTAGCGTTAACAATGAAGATCAACAGGGTAAAGATATGCTAAGACACATTTCATCTTCTTTGCTTTAAAGGCCTAAGCAAGAACTACAGTAGATGTTGATCACAAAGTAAGACGAAACAATTTAAAAGTGCTTTTCCACATTTGGCTCACCTATCTTCAGTGGCTGACCAAATAGTTATTTCCCTTAATTTAAGTTCTATCATTTCCTGCAGGGTTGTATATTTCCCGTTGCTTTCAGTTTGGAACAGTAAGGGGATTCACTACAGCAAAGTCAGCTGAGGCCTAAAGACTATCAGCAGGTTCTATGTATTTAAGAAGAAAGCGAAAAATAATTTGCCAGAAATGTTTCCTTCTGAGTGGCTAGTAATATGATTTGCAGGGCTTAAACCATGTAATCCTCTACACTGCAGTGCTACTTGCCTTGAAAGAACTCTTTGAACTCATACTTCTGAATATAGAATAACATGTACTGTAGGTTCAATCAAATGCCAATGGGCAGCCTGAAAGTTATGTGTACATTTAATAATCTGAAAGCTAAATCTTGACAAATGGATCTTGGAATATCTGTGACAGACTCAGGCTCCCATTGGAACTCTGATGAGTGCGTTTTGAGATAATTTTGGTTATGCTTTCAAAAGTAACTCTGTCATATATATTTAAATGACTAGATAATGCTATGTTTAACTAGAATTATGAAAGAGATTCCTTTGAGCCTTTGCTCTTTTGAATCCAACTACCTGTGAGAGTAGATCAATGATCAAAAGGCCAGCAGCTGTTGTGTAAACAATGCCCAGGTGCAGGATGTCCAAAGCAGTCCCTCCTTCCCCTTCAGTAAGGGTGCAGGGTCAGAATTCTTAGGCTGCTACCTTTATCATTTTCTCTAATTAATATCTCCATCAGAGACACATATTTACCTTTTTTAGTCTTGACTGTAGTAACAGAGATCTGACGCTACCAAAAGGTTATTTTCAGTAAAGTTATCTGCTTAACTTTTCAATCACTATTTAAATCAAGATAAATACGGTTTCTCTTTATCTATTGGTTTTTACATATTAAAGCCATGTTTTTAAAATTTTATGCATGGTGACAAATATATTTTAGATATGCCACCAAATAGTGAGTTTCCTACATAAATGACCAACTATTTTACTGCAGTGTCCAAACCATAATTTATAGAACTGGTGTATATAATCTTTATGTAGCCATAGTACCCACAAAAAAAGTCGGAAGTATGTCCTCTTTTGTTTTTTTGTATGTTTCAACATATTAAGTTTCATGCAACAGCACAAATCTTGTAAGAATTAATAGAAAGCCATCTGGTAAAAAGAAACTGCTCTTTTCATTCTGCATTGAGCTTATTCCAGTATAAATTAAAGCTGAAGATAAGATTTCAATTACTTGGGAGATAATGAACACATAAATCCATGTGAAATCGCATACAACCTGCTCTCAAAGAAACAATTTATTGGGACTTACTCCCTGTAAGCATACATAGGATTATGGCTTTGATATGCATATACTTTAAATAGCAAGGCTAAAGACCTCTCCCAATATCAGGTATCATTCCACCTATCTCTCCTCCTGCCTCCCCACCCCCAGAAAAGCCCTATGAATGAGATCTAGGATCAATGCAAGATTGGTGGATAGAATTTTTTTTCTTTACAAACAACTCACTTGAAATAGTTTAACTTCAGTAAATGGGAAACTAAACATTCCCAAATAGAAGGGATGCTGAAGCTCAAAATTCATATTAATTTGCATAGCAATAAGCAAATAGCACTGAGGTACTGTAAATAGCGCCCTTTCTCCAGTAATGAGTAGGGATTTAGATTTAAATTATCTCAATACAAATATTTGACTAAGTACATCCAGAGAACTTTGAGGCAGGCTAACACACTGGCAGTGAACTCGATGACTTGGGACAGATAGGGAAGTTTCTGAAATACAGCCAAGGCCACAGCTTATGCTTGAAATGCCATTCTGCAGAGCCACATGTGTTAACACAAGGTAACACTAAAAGTAGCCCTTGACCTACAACCATTTGTTTAGCCATGTTCAAAGTGAAAATGGCACTGGAAAAAGGTGACTTGTGACTAGTCTTCAATTTGCAGACATTGCAGCATCCCATTGGTTACATGATCAAAATGCGGGCACTTGTCAACTGGCATATAATTAGGACAGTTACAGTGTCTTGGGGTCACTTGATCACCATTTGCCACCTTCCTAGCCAGCTTCCAACAAGCAAAGTTAATGGGGAGAACTGGATTCAATAATGACCATCTGATTTACTTAACAAGCATGGCAACCACCTTGCTTAGCAACAGAAATTCTGGTCCCAATTGTGGTCATAAGTCGAGGACTACCTATAACAGTAGCTTCAAAGGATGCAACTGTGATATGTTAAAATATTCTGCTTACAGAGAAGGTGAAATAAAAAGAAACTGTCTAATTATAGGTAATTGTAAGAAAGTAGTCAATTAATATCACAATGGCATAAGTGAATGATGAAAGCCTTAAATAGCGGAAAGGTGCTACTATCACGCAGGGGTAAAGTTGGCTGCTCTAGACATGAGTAATATTCTCCAAAATAAGCTTTGTGCTTGACCTCTCTTTATGTGTGGCATTAACTATTTTTAAGACTTATTTAGACTAACCAGTAAAGTATCACCAAGAAATAGAACAGTGATTATAAAATAGCCATGTGAAAAAGTTTTACCGTTTGGATAAGCATATAATCATCGGCATTCCAATATTATATCTATACAAGGTTTCCCTGGAGGACAATGATTTATCTGATAGAGGAGATTATTTGTAGCTCAGGGTTGAAATGAAGGGTCCTTGGTGCTCTCTGAGCTTGGTTGTTTTCTTGCAGATATTGCTTACCTGAATTAGATAACATCATCAGTGCAGTGTGTTTCTATTTATATGTAGGTACAGAAGCAGTCTAATTATCTCCAATTCATTAGAGGGGTTTTTAACTAACATGAGGTTAAATCTAAAAAGTCCTTTTAAGCATTCACGGTCCCAGACATTTTTGCTTTCCTCAACCCCATGGCAGTTCCTTGCCAAATTTCAAAGGTCTCTGAAACAGCACAGAGTTTTGATGGGAGTTTCTCGGACATGGTACAATGTTAACATAGAAGGGAGGAACTGTAAGGTTCTTGCTGAAGCCTCATAAAAGTCTTGGAAAAGATCCTTATTTGACTTCAGTTTAATGTACTGAGCACACTGCCTTGAAAACACCCTAGTAAGTACATCCCTGATATTGTTTCTTTCACACATTCAGTTCCACATATGTTGCCAGACAAGCATTATATCATTGATTAAATCATGATCAAAGCTATTGGATTGACTTGTAATGCCAACCTCTCCAAGCTTTAATTCTAAATAATTATTGCCAGTATATGGCTCTTTTGACTAGGTGACATACATGTCTTCAAGCTGATTCTTGAAAGTAAAACTCAGAACAAACTAATGTCATAAACAAGTCAAGAAATGGAATGCACAATAGACTTCATTAATAATGTACAGATTCATAGTTTGGTTAGCGGGAATGCCATAATTGGCTTTTTTTTTGCAGAGAAACTTCTGATAAAGCATACAACATACTACAAAATTAGAATTTTGAATTCTTAGACAAATTCACACGGGCTTAAATATCCTGACTCAATATTTCCAATTGCATTGGTTAACTATAATAATTCTCCTAAGAGTAATGCTGAACTATATGGTATAAAATAAAAAAAGTATAAACTGTCTATTTCCAACGTAACCTTTGAAATTCCCTTTTAAGTGGTGAATTAAGAACAAGCCACCAGACATGTTCCACCGAATAGGAAATATCAAAGCCTTATAGCTTCTTTTACACATTATGAGTTTACCTGCCTATATTTTAAAGACAAAAAACATGGAGTATGTTTGCTCTATTTGCAACAAAAATAAATGATGGGAAATCATGTGATGGGGCAAGATTAATTTATAGTTTAAAATAAACGGAAAGCACAACCAAAGCTAAGAAACTATCTGTTTAAAAGAGGGTGTAAAGAGATGAGTTCAACTACATGCAAGCAATATCTACACTGTCCCAGACAGTTAGCTCTGAATGCCATTTCTGGATTATTCATGATTTGTTCCCAAAGGAAGCCTCAAAGTACACTAGCAGCAACCTCTACTGGATAGTGAGGGAAATCTTTCCCAGTGCTATTCAAGAGGATGCCAACTGATTTAATGCTCATTGCTCAGGCTGGAATTCCTGGCAACTGTTTGTAGGACCTTCGTTCACAATCCACTTCATGGACGAGAGAGAGAGAAATAAACAAGAATCCTACCTTTAGCAATGGCACTTTCATAATTTATATTACTTCAGACACTGGTTTTATAAATAAGTATAAAATGGTTTATGCTAAGCAATTAGAAACATTTCCCACCTAACATGCTTGCTCTAAGGCTACTGACAGCAACTGATACCTGTCAGTTGTAGTCAAATTATTTTCATCTAAGCTTCTTACTAGTATCTTAACTGAAAGTTATTAAGAAGACTCTATGTCTATTGAACTATAAAATAATTAAATATAACGAGCTAAGATTGTCTAAGGCTACACTTTCCTTATTTTTGTTTTTGCTTAAAAGCAACGTTCTTATTTATATTTATAATAATATCAGAAAATAAAAAGTGCAATTTAAGATTGGGTACTGGATGGACTGATTTGGTCACTCTTATCAGTATCATTATTCTGGAGCCACATCAATCATCTGTTTTTTCTAGTCTTCGAAGAAGCAACAATGAAAACATTAAGGCTTACAGTAATAGCAAGGAGTGCAGAATGGCACTAAAATCAAGCCAAACCTTCCTTTCCATATTTTCTAGGCCACTCCCTCCAAAATCCATAAAAAGTGCTAGTTTCACTTCCCCAATTACAAAAGCATGGCAATGTTTTTCTACAAAACTATGAAATATCAAGGCTTATAATCTGTACATTGGATTCTCCTCTTCAAAGATTAAAGCAGAATGAAAGGCGATTCCCTTTGACTGTAAGATATTAGTCTGTACACTGCACACGGGGAAACAGTCTAACAGCAAGGTCCCCATAGAATGTATGTAAGAATGCCAAAAATGGTCCATGTTGGCTTTGACTATCACAGAGATCAGAATCCATGATCAGTAATAGATACTCGAAATAAACCCTTAATGTTTAAGGCCAAATAGTTTATAAAATCTAGCTTGTTGGGTCTCAGTATCAACAACAGCTGCGTTTTGTCACAGAAGGCTGTCTTCTAAGTTTGAAACCCTTACCAATAGTTGGAGGGTTGGCATCTGTGGATGGAATTCTACGACCTGCAGTGGTAGGGAAAAAACAGCATTAAAAGAGTATTAAAAGAGCAATTGAAGACTGTAAATAAAATGAGAGGCTATACTAATATGATAAAGAAATAGAGACTTCTTCCTAAATCTAGTTCTATTAAAAGATACTCATAATTTTGATAATACATAAAAACAGAGAGATGATGACACAGGGCATTACAGATAAAAATTTAATCATCAATGCTACAGCTGTTCTTCAACAGCCTAGAAGTCAGGCTAATCTTTCTTCAAATGATAGGATTACAGGTGTCAGGGGAAAAATACTTAAAAAAATACTTTAAAAAAAAGACTGGAAGCCTTAATATGGATTTTTTGATGAACAAAGGAAATACTGATGATTTATGGATATGGGGGGAGGGTTAAAGAAGGGAAGAGTAAGATGGCAATTACTCCATAGAAAGAAGGGCAGAACTTAAAATTCTATGTTTTCTTTTTTTACTTCTCCTTGTTCTTATTTCATTTCTTTGTTCTTATTTTTCTTTTCATTTTAGCACTGTTATTGTATTATAAATTATAATAAAAATATTAACCCCTCCCCCAAGTATTAGGATTATGTGTTTCTTGAATTAAACCAAAAGTACTGGTAAACTATCTAATAATTTATTCAAACTGCTTGGAATTCATCTTATAAGCTGAATGATTAATGATTAACTTCACCTTTAACTTGGAAAAAGCTCACCTATAAATTTAGCATTTCAAATTTATTTAATTAAGTAAAAGTACCACACAAAATTGCCAGAGTCTTATCACATTAATTACATAACATTATCAGATATTGATAATTTCTTTTTCTCTCTCTCCATGAAACCAAAGGTAATATTACACAATAAACTGGCAATTTGCTGGGGCAAATATATATATTTTGGATAGTACTAATTATCACAAGATACACTATTAAACATGATACTGGATAGCTTAAATGAAGCTTAAATATTTCATAGCAACAGTTGCATATACAACATAGTAAATAAATATTAAACCTCTATGTTTAAATTAATTTCCTAGGAGAGAAGTGTATTATTTTTCTTACAACACCACAGAAACTTGGGAACAAGAACGTGTGCTTTAACTGTGTCTATTTAATACTTTTGAGAAGTGCTTTTCTCAACACAATGAAGTACTGATTTCAAAAAGTTTGCGCAGATATTGCTAACTGTATATTTCATATCCTCTCCTTCTAGTGATATGAAACAAACCCACTACATATTAGTTAGGAAAGTTAACAGGATGAAAAATGTTAATGCCAGTACATTTCTCATTCTTATGCCAAGATATGATTTGAAAGATCAAATTAACCTCTGCGTCCTAATGATTAAATGAAAATGATGCTAATCATGAAGAGAATGTACAACTTGGTAGAAGCAGAGCATGAAGCTAATATAATACGATTCTTTTTTGTTAATAACTAGGAACTCAAGAAGAAAAATATTAGTGATTTACTGACATTGAATACTTACTTATTTCTATAAACAGTTCATTTATGTTTATTGCATTTTTTGCACTAGTCTCTACAAATATTGCATGGATGGAATCTGCATAGTCTTTAGCATCTTTTTCAGTAACTTCTCTGCAGGGTGAGAAGAGAATACATACTATAAATAAACAATAATGATTTACCTTCATTTTAGCAAAGAAAATTAATTGCAAATCAATGTAGCATTATCAGTTATTTCTACAACTAATCCAAAGTCTGTAACACACTTTGTCTGAGAGATGTGGAAATATAATCAGTTTCTGTTTGTAGTGGTAGTACAACTTTCTAGACTGCCAAACATTAGTGGTTCAATATAATAGGTAACTGCCTAGAGGCATGAGATAGACAGCTATAGAAATTGATTGATAGATTGAATTAATAAAATATAGCAACAAAAGGGATGTGGATAATTCTGCACATCATAAAACATAAACATTTGGTTCCATAAGGATTTATTGATAGTTAAAAGGCAGTAATTTTTTATAATGTATGTTCAGGAAGGCATGAATGACAATTAGATGTTCAAATGAAGTTTAATTTCAACATTCCTACATCTATTTCCCAGCATTCTGCCCTCCACTCAACCAATTAGTTAGGAACTACCGGGTTGCTCTTTTTTTCTCCCTTTCAAACATGATTTAATCAAATGCAAGACTCTTTCATTGTTATATACAGTTTATGCTGCATCCCTTCTATCCTTCATTATATAACACATCGACCAATTTTCTTTCAGTGGCTTGATTAACATAGTGACCGGTAATTAAAATGAAAGTAAATTACTGTCGTGAATATTAAAAACTTAATAAAATTTGTTTTCAGACAGCCTAAGTGTTTCTTGCCTCTTCTTCAATATATTAAAATTAATTAAAGATTAAAGTATCCATATATTTTGGAAAACTAAGTATACCAAGAGATTGTGGTAGGTTTGTAATAAAATGTTACCAACAGCTGGATAAGACTCTGTTTAATTTACCTTACATCATTAAGATCACACTTATTTCCAGCAATTGCTACAACAATATTGGGTGGTCCATGCTGGCGAAGTTCTTTTACCCAGTTTTTTAATGTTGAAAACGTTTCCTAAAATGGAAGCAACAAGATCAATAAATTTAATAAAATAGCCAATTTGTAGATTTTGCAAATGCATTTAATTTACCTCTTTTGTAATATCATAGACTATAATAGCTGCGGCAGACCCACGATAATACATTGGTGCCAGAGCACGAAACTGTAAAGAGAAAAAACACATAAAAATAGCTTCTGTGCCATAGTAATCATATCAAATATTAAATGAAAAGGGGATTGAAATATGAGTAAGAGAAATAAAATAAAATTCATTATGAAGCATCTTTGTCCTCCATCAGCTTTTTTCCTCACATTTCCTCCAAACAAACAGGTAATACAACTAAATGAGAACCTAAGTATAACAACTTGGGAAAGCAATTTAAACAAAGAGAAAGTGATTGGCTCTGATTGCTTAGCCAGTTTCACAATTCAGTGGATTATATGTACCTAGAACACTCTAAACTCTTAACCCTTTAACCAATATAAAACATGCTGATGCTCTATGATAAATTGTGGAAGTGCAAGGAGACAGTACAATTATATTTTTATTTCAATTTTTTATGTTTTTTAATTAAAGCAATAAAGATGCTGGCATAATTTATTTTCCATCTCTAACACTACATTATACATATATATATATATATATATATATATATGTATGTATGTATGTATGTATGTATGTATGTATGTATGTATGTATGTATGGCCTTCAGCTTTGTTCGGGTATTTTCCCACGTCATTATAGTTGTGCTTTTAAAGTTGTAGCAACGTTTCAGCAGAATCCCATCTGCCATCATCAGGCTTCTGTATTGTGTCCTATATATATATATATATATATAAAATCTGGTATCTAGGCAACGTTTCGATGAAGTCTCATTCATCATCTTCAGGCTTGTGTCTTCGGTTCTGTGCTTCTCAGAGTCTCTGAGAAGAGTCTCAGAGTCTCTGAGAAGCACAGAGCCGAAGACACAAGCCTGAAGATGATGAATGAGACTTCATCGAAAC